AAAAAAAAAAAAGACGAAGAAGAATGAACGTTTTTAATAATTAATTCTCACGCATAACGACACGCTGCTACTCGACACTCGCTATGCTACTTTAAATCTTTTTGCCGTTTCTTTTTCTTCGTTCTCTTCTATAGAAATCCCTAGGTTCGTCGGTAGTCGAATTCATTCTCACACACACTCACACGCTCGTAAAATCGTATTCTCGTTTGCTCTCTAATCGCGTTCGCTCTAGCACATTCTTTCTTTCTCTCGTTTAATAGTGTTCTCCCTTACGCTAGAAATAGTTATCTGATAGGAACTTTCAGTATTGCCTAGCTCTGGATATATTATTATTCGCACTATACATATAAAGATTCATCGAGATTTCGTATTTCGTGTTACCTTGTTTACGTTTTCTCAAAAAAAATTTCTCCGTTCTATCTAGAAATTCAATTCCGTAATCGACGGGCCCCCTAGAGTATCACACGGGCCAAATTATACGATACGCGTACGTATACACACGCGGTAAAGGGACACGTGCACAACATACAAACGATTCGTTCGACTCGCGCGTCGTTTGAAATTCTTTATCACGACGATTGAAAGAAAAGAGGAGAAAAGAGAAGACGAAGGAAAAGTGGATGAAACGTAAACGAAGAGGAGAAAATTCTTCAGGCAGTTCAACGACGTATCGTCGTAAAAAAAAGAAAAAAAGAGAAAGAAGGAAAGAAAGAAAGAAAGAAAGAAAGAAAGAAAGACGAGACGAAAGTCAAATAATAAAAAAAAATTCCTCTCTCCCTCTCTTTCTCTTTCTCTCAGAATGAAAGAAGACGACAGAATTTCGAACTGAACGCGGGCCAAACGATCGTTTACGAGTCTAAGAGGTCAGCCAGACACTCACCGGCGGTGGTGGTAGCCGTGCTAGCCGCTGCGGCGCCCGGATGTTGCTGTTGCTGTGACTGGAACATCGCCGTAGGATGGAGGAACAGGGATCCGTACATCATGTTTTCGTCTGATTGCTGCTGCTGCTGCTGCTGCTGCTGCTGCTGCTGCTGGCTGGTTTGCTGGTTACCAGGCCCGACCACCGGCGAGCTACCGATTCCTGCTGCGCCGCTGTTGCCGCCAGGAACGATCGGTGCGCCGGGTGTTGGTGGCACGAGGCTACCCTCCTCGACGGCGACACGCACCGACTCGATGTGTCGCCGCGAGAATACGTGCTCCTGAAGCGGCGACTTGGCCGAGTATCGAACCGAGCAGAGTCTACACTCGTCCGGGCCGGTCGGGCCACGATGAGGTTGGACAGCCGAGCCTTCGGCCGGCAAACCGGCCGCCAGTCTAGCCTTCTTCTCTTTTGCACGGGCGTTCTGGAACCACACCTGCCACTCCTTTCTATTAGACCCATTATCGTGACTCGATTACCACGTGAAAATCGACGAGCAATCGGAGGGGGGGGGGGAGGGAGGATATACCGAGGAGTCGAGTTACCCAATCGGAATAAACAGATGTAATTGCAGATGGAGTTCCATTTATCTGGAATCCAGTTGCAGTTTATCGACTTGCACGTCCGAATTCTTGTTCACGTTAACGAAAAATTGCTTACATTGACTATTATCACGCGAGTTTCAACTGCTCGATAGATTCAGATTAGAATGATTGAAGGTTTCGCGTGTCGTAAGATACCAGAGATTACGTTGATTGGTTAAATGCAAAAATTAGCAAATTTTTCGCTAGTTCGTACTTACAACTTAGGTGAGAATGTGTTGCAAGAGACTCGACAGGGGGGGAGGAGGGAATTAGAGAAACCAAACGAACGAAATCAGACTCACCTGAACCACGCGCTTCGGCAGTCCGATCTCGCGTCCAAGCATCTCGCATTCGGCCATGGTGGGTGTCTTGTAGTCCGAGAAGAGCGACTTCATCACTTTCACCTGGGTAGCGGACATCTGGGTGCGATATCGTTTGCCACTGGACTGGCCTGTTCCACTGCCGGTGCCTGCGATCGGTGGTCCTGCAGCACTTCCGGCCCCCGCCGAAGCTGGACCCTGTCTTGAGCTCTGTGTACTCGAGGCTGGACTCGCCGGTCCGCTCTCGTCGTCTAGGAATTCCGTGGTCTCGCTCATGCTGTCGTCGTCGCAAATGCTCCTCTCGGAAAGATCGGTCAGAGGGCCGCAGTCGCTGCCGCCGCGGAAGTGCGCACCGTGTTGTTCGTCGAGGAGATTCGACAGTCCACCGAGGCTCAGTTTCATCGGGCGACTCAGGTCCACCGGTTTGCTAAGATCTAACGGTGACTCGCCACTGTTGCCACCCGCCTGATGGTTCGCAGTCTCTTGCTTGCCGTTGCTGGCGTGAGCTTGCAGCTCGCTGATGTATCGCTTCATCGACTCCTCGTAGTACTTCTTCAGGGACGCTTCCATCTCGGTGTTGAACGGTGGGAACAACGGTGGCATCATGTTGGGCGTGCTGGGGTTCGAAGGGGCCGACTCCATCGATAGTTCCTCGTCCGGAATGTTGTCAATGTTCACTTCGCCGCGTGCAACCTGATCAGCGTGTTTGCTACTGAGATGCGACTCCAGGGCCGACTTCACTTTGAACAAGGCCGGACAGAACGGACACCGTTTATTGATTACCTGGCTGTGCGCGCGAAACTGGCCCTTTCGTTCACGGGCGCGCGTATTCTGGAACCATACCTGCACCACCCGTTTCTTCAGGCCGACCTCGCGAGCGATCGTCTCCAGCATCTTCCTCGACGGATTCGACTCGACCTGATATTTTTGATACAAGTAATCCAACTGTTCGGGCAGTATCGTCGTTCTCAGTCGCTTGTCCTTCGGCTGCTCGTTGTGCTCGGAGTTGGAGCGGCTATCGCCTCCGATCGTTCCCTCGTCGAAGTCGTCGTACTTTCTTTTCCTCTCTTGCATCATCGCAATCAAAGGGTGAGGAGTGTCAGTTGGTACCCCGCTGGTAGCGTTTAGCGCTTGTTGCTGGAGAATGCCAAACGGTGAGTCTGGGGGATAGGCGGGTGGAAACAGAGACGGGTTCATGATATGTACTAGCTGATGTTCGCGCCACAGTTCGAACCGCCCGAACATCAGGTTACACTTGTCGCACTGAAAACTACCTTCCTTCGACTCGGTCTGCGATTGTTGCGGTTGTTGTTGCTGCGATTGCTGTTGCTGTTGCTGCGATTGCTGCTGCTGTTGCTGCGACTGTCCTTGCTGAGAATGTTGATGCGACTGTCCCATTTGTTGCTGCTGCTGCTGTTGCTGCTGATGATGATGAGGAGACGTGGTGGCGTTCAACGGCTGATGCAACTGTTCTGCGAGTGCGGGTGTGTTGGTCGGATTGCTGGACACGGCGTTAGCAGTGGTGGTGGTGGAACTGCTGTTGCTGTCTTCGGAGCTGAGAACAGCTGCGACTTGGGCCGCGGCCGCCTGCGCTTGGGCGCTCCTCTTTGCGTCTTCTTCTTTGAAGCAGTGCGTCTTTTGATGACGAATGAGCTCGTAGTATCTCTGAAACACCAGCAAACACTTCTTGCATTGGTAATTCAAGCCTGGTGTTCGTTGGAATCGGCCCGAACCGTCGTCACCCTCGCGGCTGCCTGTTGTTACTGGCTCAGCGGCTGGCTGATTTTCGTACACCTTTCGCGCCTTTTGTCTAGCGTTCTGGAACCATACCACGATCACGCGCGGACTCAGGCCGAGCAGCTTGCTCAGGTACTCCAAGTCATCGTCTTTTGGATAAGCGTTGTTCTCGAAGAACTCCTGCAGAACCTTGATCTGATAGTCGGTGAATCTCGTTCTGTTGGCTCGTTTTCCTGAGCTACCGCCGGATGAGGAACTGTTGCCGTTGGTGCTTCCGCTGAAGGAGTAATCGGTCGGGCCACGGCCGGGGCTGAGCGATCGTTGAGGCGTTAGAGCCATTGCTGCAATCGCCCCTGGGACCACGTTACCAGCGCCGGGTGTCGGGCTGGTAAAGTTCTGCGGTGCCAGTTTCGGTGGTAGCATCGGCGTGCTCGGTGCGTTGGCGCTTGACGCGCCGTGCGACGACACGTCGTGATGAATACCAGAGAATACGGAGCTCATGCTGAGCGCCGGCGAATGCGGCCTCGACTGCTGACCACCGGAACTACCGGGCGAATGATGTTGCTGTTCCTCCTGCGAATGCTGCGAGTGCTGCTGCACGTGCAACTGCGACTGCTCTTGAATCTCCTGCTTGATCTCGCTGGCCTGCGACGTGTTCACCTGCACGGTGGTCGACGGCGGTGGTGTCGCCTGTTTGTTCGGGCTTTTGTCGTCCGACGAACTGCTTCCGGACACGCTAGAGTTCAACGGCGTTACTTTCGCCTCGCCGGTCTTTTCGTACTCTTCGAGATTCAACGTGGTGCTCGGCGGATTGTTGAAGTTGTACGGGCTGTCTTTGTTCCGCTGCCGCTCTTTGAACAACGTGTTTCTGAACCAGTGTTTGATGACTTTTGGCGGTAGCCCGCTCTGAGCCGCCATATCTAAAATCTGTTCCTCGCCGGGGGAATTGTTGATGTCGAAATGCGCTCGTAATATCTTTAGCTGTTCGTCGGTAATGCGCGTTCGCGCTCGTTTCTGCGAGGCAGCCGCGTTTGCCTGTAAGAAAACGTCGCCCATGCTTTCTTTCTTGTTCGCAAATTCGAGTACGAATTACCATGCTGATTATTCGCTTTCAAATGGAGTGTGTGTTGTGTGTGTGTGTGTGTGTGTGTGTGTGTGTGTGTGTGTCTGCTTTTAATTTTCGTTTCTTTCATTTATCATATATACTATATATTTTTTTTCCACGTCGCAGTTCCTCGCGACGATTTATTCTGTTATGATAGTGATTGCAAATGAAATAAATCGAAATGAAATGATCGACAACTTTCAAACAACGGTACAACTTGTATTTCCAAACGCCAGAGATGACTTTTGCAACGAAATTCTAAAATATATATACAATCTCGGAAAAATAATACACGATGAAGTTTAATTATCCACATATTATACTTATAGTAAATCAAATAAAAACTATCCTTTCGCTGTTTGATAAAAATTGCGGGAAACGCTTAGAAAAAAAAAAAAAAATCAACCATTTGCCAGTACGATGCAAGGATTAAAAAACGAAACGGTTATAAAATTCATACGTGACGAGGAAACAAGAGAGGTGTCGTTAATAAATAAATAAATGAATAAATATATATATTATTGTTAAATAAATATTGTTAAATAATAATAATAATATATATATACACACAACAACGAAAATATAACGAAAATTGCAAAGAGCTAAATCTTCGTAGAAACGTAGTCAGAAAGTTACTCACGGCTGCTGCTTGTTGCTGCTGCAAGGCGAGATGTTGCTTGGCAAGGAGGTCGGCTTGTGCATTGATAGGGGGTGGATATCCGGTAGCCGTTCCGTCGTAAGGCGGCGGCGGTAGCATCATCGGCACCAACGGTGGTTGAAGATTCATGGCAGCCAGGGCGGGAACGTTCAATCCAAGGGGCAGACCCATCATGCCCATCATCAGTCCGGGATACTGTTGAAGCTGCTGCTGCAGTTGCGACGCAGCCATCGCGTTCAAAGCGGCTTGCATCTCTGTCATCTGTTGCGCGAGTGTCAACTGAGCGTGCTGTTGTTGTTGTTGTTGTTGTTGCTGCTGCTGCTGCTGCTGTTGTTGTTGCTGCTGCTGCTGCTGCTGCTGCTGTTGTTGTTGTTGCTGCTGCTGTTGAATATGAAGCTGAGGGTTGGTGGACAACACGGTTGGAGTTGTGGAATCGGTGCTCGACACTGGCGTGTTGCTCAACGCCGGAGTTGTTGCCGGCGTGGTGGAAGTAGCCTCCGGGGTCTTGCTGACTCGATCTTTGCCCTCGTTCGCATCCTCCTTGTCTTTGTCGCGTTGTTCCTTGTCCGACGAGAGATCCTGCGGCTGGCTGGAAGCCGGTGTCGAGCTTCTCGGTCCGGACGACGTGGAAGAGGACGTTGCGACAGTCACCACGACGCTCTTCTTTTCGTACTCGCACTTGAATTGCTGTGCGTACTTCTCCAAGAACTCGCGCGGCACCAAGTCACGATGTACTTCTTCGCAATGGGCCTTCAGTACCCAGACGCTGCTGAATTCTTTGTTGCAGTGTTGGCAGGTGCTCCTGGTTAGCTCCGGTATGACATCGTCGTCAGTGTGCTCCTCTGCCTCTTCCTCCCTTTCGCGCGCGGCCTGAGCAGCCAGCGCCTGCTTCTGCTGCTCCTGTTTCTGTTGCTCCTGCTGCGCCTGAAGCGCGGCAGCGGCCTCCTCCTCCTTGCGCTGGCGTCGCTGATGGTTCTCGTTGAACTGCATCACCAGGTCGAAACCGAAACTCTCCAGAAGATGTTTGTACATCTGCGACGTCTTGTGACGAGGCTGCGACAGAATGTCCTGCGTCGTTTGCGAGGAATGTTGCGTGGCCTGTTGCAAGTGTTGTTGCGGGCCGGGCGTCGTAGATGTCGGAGGTGGAGTTTTGGCTGGTGTGGACGCGAGCTGCTGCGACGCGGCTAGCTGTTGAAACAACGCCAACGGATTGCTGAATATGCAGTAGAGTTGCTGGTGAGTGGCGAGCTGTTCCTGGTTGACGAAGAAGGCGTTGCAACGAGGACAGGACAACATCGTTCCGCTGTTGCCAGAGGTGCTGCTGGTGTTCACCGGTGGACTGTTCGGGCTGCTCGGCGGCGGTTGTTCGATCAACGGACGAGCGAGATCTAGCTGGCCGCTAGCAGCGAGATCCGGCAGTTTACTGGCCCTGGTCTGATGCAACACGCTCCTCATGTGAATGTCCAATGTGCTGCCTTGAGAGTAGGCCACCTTGCAGATGTTGCACTTGTACGGTTTCTTGTCCTGGTCTTGCTGAGAGTCGGGCGACTCCGTAGGACTGGCCGGTGGCATCACGGAGATGAGCGTGTTGTTGTTACCCTGCTCCTGCATCGCTCTCTTCAGCTTGTGCAGGTGGCTGACGCTGTTGTAATGAACCAAGAGGATGTTCTTCTGGGTGAAACTCTCCTTGCATACGTCGCACTTGTACGGTCTATTCGGATCAAGATATTTTTCCATCGGATAGGACATCTTCTCGCCTTTGCGATGGAGCAGAGTTTTGTTGTGCCCGGTCAAGTAACTTTGCCTGGTGAACGCGACCTTGCAACGATGACACTTGAACTTTCTTCCCGGGTCGTGGTACGAGTCTTCGGCGACCGGTTGACTATTGAGATAGTCCTCGAGGAGACGTTGTTCCTTGTGCAATGGCGACGAGTCGCTCGCGTCGCTCTCCTCCTCCTCCGCTTTGCTTGCGTCGTCGTCCACGTTCTGCTCGCCGATCAAGCTACCCTGCCTGCGCAGCGCTTCCTCCGTGAGCGCCTGAAGAAGCGGGTGAGCGTGTATCAGGCTCTGCTTGTACTGCGCCAGCTCGTCCTCGTGTAGATCCGCGTGCGCCGACTCCAGGTGTCGTTGGAGCGCCTGCACCGAGCGAAACGATCTTCCGCAGAGCGCGCATTTCGTCGCGTCGCGAATCGCGTGGTACTGCGAGTGCTGTTGCAGCTTCTCCAGAGTCTTGAACGCCAGGCTACACTGTCCGCACCGATACTTGTAAACGTGTTTCTCGCTGACGGCGAGCGTGGGCGTAGTGGCCGGATGGGTCTCCCGGTGATGTTGCTGGAGTTCCTCCAACGAGCGGCACACGCGGCCACATACGGTGCATCTGGTGATCTCCTCGATCTCTTCGTTGGCCCCGCGCTCGCTCATCTCCTCCTCCTGCTGTTGTTTCACCGTGGTGGTCGGCGACGACGGCATAGCCACCGCTGGCGTCGATGTGTTTCGCGGATTGTTGTTCAACCAATGGCTCTGGTCCACCAGCAACAGCAGCCGTTGTAAACCGTCCGAGTTCACCGAGTGGATTTGCATCACATGTTTCTCGAGCGCGGAACGTTCTTTGAAGCCGTCCTGACACAGCGGGCACAACAATTCCGGCGGCGGCTCTTCCTTCACCGCCTCCGCTTTGTCCTCCATATCCTGGACATGAGCCACTTGCAAATGCTGCCTCAATTCTTCGCGCGACGTCGGCTGATAAGTGCAATACGGGCAGGTGACTTCCTCGTGCTCGTTCTCCGGCTCTTGTTCCGGCTCCTGATCGTTATCCGGCTCTTGCTTCACCTCGCTGCCGCAGTCGCTACCTTCCTCTCGTCGTTCTGTGAAAAGAAAGAGGAAAAGAAAAGAAGAACGGCAACACGGACTTTTCGCTCAGTGATCGAGAGGTTGAGACGTTCACGCGTGCAGCGTCAACCTAAATGGGTATTGTTGTACCAAGGGATGCGAGGGAGGGTGTTGAAAATCTCGACTGGTCTGACGTCGATCTTTATTAAATCAAAGAACTGCAGCTGGTACCGTTTGAAACTTCGAGTATTAATTTCTGCACCGTTTCGTGCGAATATCTCGTGTAATTTTCAGTATTAATTCCTGCGAACGTCCTCGGTCTATATTTAGTTTATTAGCGAAGAGTGTAAGAAAGAACGTTGAGACGTTGATACATAACCGAAACGAAAAATGGACGATACGACAGCACATCAGTCGAGATTGTTATCAAATATTTATGAAATTTGCGATCAACGATTAATCAAGGATGCTGAAACACTTGCTCTTTGAATAAACCGCGCCAGAAGTTTTGCCAATTTTAGTCTGAATCGGTAACTACGACGGATTTACAAAATACGTCAGTGTCGAACAACATCGGCAATCCAATTGGAAACCTCGTTAGGACTTAATGTTGTTTTGAAACCCCTCCTGTCGATTTAATTAACAATCGATCGTTTCCATCCATTGCCAATTTTACATGGCAAAGTCTCGTTCTCGAACGTAAGCACGGTGAAAACCGGAAATCACCGGATGGTGAGCACACCGTGCAATTGGGCCGCATTAACGTTAACAGTTTTTGATTCGCGCAACATAAATTCCTCGCGCCTTAATATCACGATTACTATCTACCGATAACGCGACGTGTAATTCACCTTTCTATTAAGGCGCCGATAAATCGTCGATCGACATCGAAAATCTCACCAGCCGAACAAAAAGGAAGAAGAAAAATAGCCATTAATCTTGCAGCTGCATGCGAGACAGAGGTTTAAGTCGATAATGTTGCTGCGAGAGAAAGTAAATTATGTACAACGGCAGCGAAAGCATTTCATCCAGTAACGCCCGATTCTCTTGTTCGATGTTACATTCTGTTAAAATTGATTTCGTTCCACGTTTTTCCTTTTTTTTCAGTCGAACTTTTACACATCGGTGTCCCGTAAAATCGAAGATTGGCCTGTTGCAGTAAATCATCGAGTAATGGAAGCAATCCATGATCAGAGATACAAGAATAATTCGACGTTTAACGTCTGTTCGATTCAGTTAACAAATCTCTGTTTCGTAAATTATACATAAAAGTGTCTATAGACACTTTTATTTCGAGGTGCAACTTCTTTTCTTGTCGTAGAATTATTTTAGAAGTAGACTCTTGGCATAATGTATCCTCACGTTACTATATTACATTTAATCATATACAGTGCCGGACAAATGTATTCGGACAATTACTTTTTGTTGTGTAATTTCAACATGCGGCATAGCAGATGTTCTACTAAATAATTAATATATAGAGGAAAGGATGGTAAATACACCAATGAAATTCATAAATTATTGTATCAGACATATATCTTTAATATTAAACAAAATTAAATGTGACAAAAGTATTCGGACAATATTAATACATCATTATATCTTTAAAAAAAAAAACAAGTTACTTACTTAAAAGTGACAAATATAAAATTTTTATAGGGTAAACATAATTAAATAATTAATATTTTGTAGCATATTCATTTGAATTGATGACTGTTTTGCATCCTTCTTGGCATATATTCCAAAAGTTTTTGAATTGTTGCAGGATTAATACTCTCCCACTTCTTTTGTAAAATTTCAAATAATTCGTCTTTATTTTTCAATTTCTTGGCTTTCAAGTTTTGTTTCAACTGATTCCGGAGGCGTTCGATTGGATTAAGGGCCACACCACATTACAGAAGTTTCTTTTTGTGTGAACCAATTTTTTTACAAAACGCGAAGTGTGTTTTGGATCGTCATCTTGTTGAAACGTCCAGTTATTTCTGATGCATATGGATATTTGCGTCTCTAGGAGGATGTGTGCATAATCAAACCTGTTCATAATATCGTGTATCTGTATATACAAAGGGCCAATGCTGTTTGCGGAGAAACAACCCTGCACCATTACACTACCTTCGCTATATTTTACAGTGGGAAATTGGTAACGGACATTAAATCTTTGTCCTTTTTCACGACGAATCCCACTTCGGTTAAACAACTAAAAGCTACTTTCATCGCTAAAAATTATTTTTGCCCAATCAGATGCCGTCTAAATGATCTCGGGCAAATTGTAGTCGGGCTGTCCTGTGTTTTTTACATACCGATGGTGTCTTAACGCCATGTCGTTCATGAAGGTGAAATGACTCTAAACGAATGGTTCGTACACTCACATTCAGTTCACTATTTTGTACAATTTCCGCATGAATGTCAACAGCAGTTTTCCTCGGATCTGCAACCGATAAACTACGAATCTTCCTGTCTTCTCTGATTGTAGTTTTCTTAGGTCGACCACTTTTTGACACGTTTTCTAAATGTCCTCTAAAGGTATTTGACAGGTTTTCTAAATGTCCTCTCTGATTGTAGTTTTCTTAGGTCGATCACTTTTTGACACGTTTTCCTGTTGAAGAAACTGTTTTTTTTTTTTTTTTTTTAATAAATATATTTAATTTTTGAATAAATAGTCTGCTTCGGGATATCTAAACGCCGAGAAACTTTGGATATTGAGTCCCCTTGTTAAACGATTAATGATTTTTTCTTTCAAAACTTTTGGTAAACTTTTATCTTTTGGCATACTAAAATAGATTTAAAAAAGAATACGCTTATAAGATTTCGACGAATATCATGCTTCAGATTGTAATTTACGCTTGTAAATTAATTGTCCGAATACTTTTGTCCAAGCTAATTTGAATAAAACTTATTTTATATGTAGTAGAGAGCAAATACCTAACTGTAACTTCCACGCGAGTTAGTATTAGACTAATAATAAAAAAATCACAGAGTGACACTCTCCTACCAACAGTATCACAATACAGGAAAACAAAAACATTTTTGTCCGAATACATTTGTCCGGTACTGTATATTTCATTGTATAGGTTCATACAGGATCAATATAATTTATCAAGGATTCAAACCAATATTTTTCAAAGGTTACAAAATTCAATTAAAATCGTCAGAATTCATTATAACTGTAAATGACCAATTAATAACAAAAGAAGAAATTTCCACGAATTTCAATAAATTCGTAAATTTCCCAAAGAAAAAAGAAAAAAACACCATTCACTCAAGACTCGCAGAATTCAAGCGAATATTTTCGAAATTCTAAAGTTATAAGATTCAATTAATATCGTCAAAATTCATCGACGAAATAGTAAATAATCGATCAGTAACAAAAGAAGAAAATTTCAGAAGTAGAAAATAAGAAAGATGCAGACCCATTGTAAACCGGAAGCCATCGTAAGCCGCCTAGGCAAAGGATAATATATAAATAAATAAAATAAAATAAATAAAAGTAGAAAATTTCCACGAGTTTCAAGATCGAATTTCACCAATTAATCCGTCAATTCATCAGGAAAGAGAAATAAGAAGACCAGTCTCTGATCGAGCGCTATAAAATCGCCTAACACAGCGAAGCTCGAGAACTCAGTCAAGTGGTATAGTCTCGTCATAGCTCGGAGCAGTAACAGACTTGTCTTCGGAGCGGAACAATCGATGAAAGTCAGCGTTACGTGAAAGAGCTTCGGTAACGACGGAAAGCATCGAGGGTGGATCACGTCACGATGGTGTGCAGACGTCACAGATGCTTCCTTGTCCGGCCGTGCAACAATACCACTTGAAATTACAGATTGTCGACGCGAAATTATCGGCGGGTCGTTTCTTCGAGGGAAGGAAAGAAAGAAAAAAAAAAAAAAAAAAAAAAAAAAAAAAAATAATAATGAAACGCGTGGCCTGCCTCCGTTGGAGGGAGAAAGCGAGACGCGGGAATAAAGGGAAAGACCGCCTATTCGCGTGGTCTGCCATTGTCCGAAACCGCATTTACATCGAACGAGCGTCAGTTGCGAAACCTCGAAACGCGACGATGCAACGCGTGCTACTGGTTTCTCGCTTTGTTCCGCGCAACCTATCCGCGCGATTTCGCGTCTCCTCGGGCGAGAAATTTCCGAGAACGTGCAGTTAATACTGCCCGAAGGCCGAGAATTTATTTATCTTGAACGAATGTTCCATTCGCGATCTCTCGAAGAAGAATGGGAAATTTCTAGTACGATAAATTTGAGATTTAGGGAATCGAGTCATGGTGAATGGTAGCGAGGGAGACAAAATTGGCACAATTTTGAAATGAACGAACGATTCAACCGGACTTTTCATTTTTTTGCACTCTTTTCAAGACTTAGTTTGTAGACTAAGGAATTCGTTCGTCGAATGTTTGAGAATATAAGCAAATATTCGTATTTAGCGAATTTTTGAGTTTCACTGAACGTGAAAGTTATAGGAAGCAGTGCGCTTTGAATATTTTCTACATTTTCTTTTCATCATGTGCATTCTCTGTAACTTTACATTCTAAAATTTCCTACAAATGCATAATTTATTGATTCTGAATCATGTTCTATCGTTTTCAAAGAATTTTCGAAAAGTTTTGTAATTGTGTCGTCAATTTTTGTAATCGTATTTCAAAAGAAGAATTTACCCAAAACGTTTCCATAAAACGTTCATAATGACAACGAAGGTTGTAGAGAAGTTTGTTACAGTTATTGCACTATGACAACATGGAACTACGAAAACTCTGGAATTATAGTTCGAATGCCTCATTGTGGCATATCTTCTTGTACATTTATATAAATGCAGGCTGTCGATTGTAATAATACTCGGCATTGTGCGTGCTGAGGCACACGCCATTGCCATATGTCACGCAAAATTCCCGCCGGTGCACGCTAATTACGCGATAATCAATGAAAATATTGAATTCGTTAAAAGAGAGAGCACCCCGCCGGCGAACACGCGAGTGTTCCTCGTGTTTGTTTTTTTTTTTTTTAAAGCGATTTGTGACACATGCGAATCATACGTTTGTTCTTTCAGGTGAAACACGTGATTGTGTGTGTTCTCCTGAACATTTTTTCAGTAAGTTGATCGAGCTTATGGTCAATTATTGTTTACTTGTAAATCGCGATATTTAGGGAAATTACAGGTCACGTGATGTTTAAAGAATTACCGAAGAGAGGAAAACGATCGTGTATTCGGAGAAACTAGTTGTGACAGAAGAATAGATCAACTGAGAATTGTAATAAGTTTATATTACAATTAAAAATAATTTAATTATTTAAACAAAACAGTTATTATTTCTCAGCTTCTGATCATTTTTAACGTCATACAAGTATCAAGATAATCATAAACTCAAGATTGCAAGACTCTCAGGACTGTGTCTGACCATGTATAGCACTATCTCCTGTTTCCACAGATTTAAGAGTTGGCAGCACTCTTCTGCGATAAATGTACAATTCTAGTACCTCAGGTTGTTTTAAAAACAAATAATAATAAATCCACGTCTGAAACGCCACCACTTTCCGAAATATAATTTCTCGAGTGATAAACGAAAAAATGAATGCCTGATTGCATCTCTTTTTAACGAACGTAACATCGAATATTCCATACCGTTTCAGGCAGCATCGAGACTCGAATTGTAAAATAGTAATGCAGAAGCGTGAAGCAATTATTCTGGCTAAACTGCAAGAATATACGAATATTAATCTACTAAATTACAAATTATTTATACATCAGTAACTTATGGGCGAAACTATTGAAGAAATTTGCCCTACGTTGCAATGAAGGAACAAAAAAGCTACAAACGTCCATTTAAATTTTCCACAAAGTGGCAGCCGCTGAATATAATTTTCGTGTGGGAAAATGTCAGGTTCTACTCACCACTGTTGGCACTGGTAGCGTTCGGCGTGGTTGGCGTGGTGGGACTGGGCTGTTGCGCGGGTGGAGCGTCCGGATCGCTCATCACTTGGAAAACGTCGCCGATGTCGGTGTGCGGCGTTTCGTTCCCCTGGATGCCGCTTCGCCGATGAAGCTGGTGCAGCTGTTCCATCTGAAGGTGTCTGAGCGATCGGACGTGTTGCAGCAAAGGGAGTCGGTGTCTGGCGCTGAAACCGCACAACGCGCAGTGGTAGAGCTTGGCCTGCGATGGTACGTTGGCGCTGGCCTCGAGCAAGTGACGAAGAAGAAGCGCCGCGGCCTCGTGCCTCGGCGACGCGGCATGCAGGGCCAATTTGTGAGCGCTGTTCGTGTAATAGTCGCACGCATGGCACCGTAACTGCGCGGCGCTGGTGGGCGAGGCCAGGTACTTGAGCTTCCACTCGTTTCGAAGCCCGCCCTCCTTCACGTGGTTCACGTGTTGCAGACGTTGCAAGTGCTTGTCGGTTTTGCAGTGCAGCTGGAAGTTGGCCTTCAGGTTGGTCTTGTAGGAACAAAGTTTGCAGACAAAGTGGCCGGCCACCAGCGCCAAGATCTCCCCCTCGCGCGTTCTCGTTCTGTCGACGGCCAGATGGTGGCCGAGAGCCTCCAACGAATCGGTAGCGAAGTTGTTGCACACGCAGCAATGATAGAGATGAGACGGATCGGGATCGGCCGGCTCCGGTGGTGGATCCATGCTGTCCGGTGACAAACCAACATCACCGCCGAGATTCCCCATGGCACCCATACTGGCCATACCGCCCATAATCTCCGGCGGTAGCTGCGGCGGTAACTGACCGCCGGTCATCATCTGAATCAACAGTGCCTGATTGTAGGCCATGTCCGCTAGAGCGGCCTCCGCGTGTTGAGGTTTGTCCAGGCCGCCCAGGTGAAGCAGCTGCTCGAGTTGCTGCTGATGTTGCTGTTGCGCCTGTTGGTGGTGATGCTGGGCCTGCTGATGGTGGGACTGGAGCGCGGTCAGTGTCTGCATGTGCTTAACGTTCTGCTGCAGGACCAGCATGTTGTGCGTGTGTTTCTCGCTGGTCATGTGTATCCTCAGGTTACGAGCGACGTTCGTCTCGTAGTTGCAGACGTCGCAGCGAAACGTCGGCTTCGGCTTCCCTTGGCTTCCGGCCTGACCGGCGATGTGCGGACTGTGGTTTTGCTGGTGATGGGGGCTTCTCGTTGGCATCGGCGCGTCCTGCGACGACGACGGATTGCTCGCTGCCGAGCCACCGCCGCCACCTTGTTGCAGCTCTTGCATGTTGTTCAAATGTTTGTCGCTTTGCATGTGAATGCTGAGATTACCCTTCGTCGTGGTGGAGTAGTTGCATACTTCGCATCTGTACGGCTTGTACCCGCAGGTGTACGTCTCGCCGCGCGCTAACCTCGGATGCGGTTGTCCGGCGATGCAGTAAATGCACGAGGTTTCGCTCTCGGGATGCTTCTCCTTCATGTGAATCTCCAGTGTCTCTTGGTACTTGTAGTGCCAGTTGCATTTCGGACACTTGAGGGTCTTGCACGAGTTTCTGCTGTGAATGCCGGCCAGTGGTCCGCCCGGACCGGCCAATCTGCTGCTAGCTAGAATCAGTTCGCACTTGGGACATTCGACGCCACTGGGTCTACCCTGCATGTGCTCGGGACAGACACCGATCGTCGTGCCTGTGAGGAAATTCGGCGGTTGTTGAGTCAACGCTGCGTACGAGGATGGCGAACCTTTGGTCGACGAGGATGGCGGTGGTGACGTGTAGTGTATGCTGGAAGCGTCAGGTGCTTTTGCCCAAGAGGCAGCGCTCACTTGGCCACCGGTCCACTGATGCTGCTGCGTCTGTTGATGATTGTACGCGAGAGGGTGATTCGAGTGAGACGTGGGAGTGGTGGGTGTGCTAGGCGACGGCCTCTGCGGTTGTTGTTGCTGCTGCTGTTGCTGTTGCGGACTGCTCGGTACACCAGGAGTGCTAGCGGGTGTGCTGGTCGTGGTCGGTGTCTCGTGATCGAGATTGGACTCGGTACGCGGCTGCTGCTGCTGTTGCTGTTGCTGGCTCTGCATCTGCACGGGCGACGGTTGCGGGCAAGTGGAACTCGTCACCGGTTCGAGAAAACTGACCAGCGGTTGTTTGCCTCGGCCGACCGCTTGAATGATCGCCGACGCGGTCGAGTGCGAGAGTACCTGTCGTTCGTCTTCCATTAACGTGAGCTGATGTTCGCCCTGAGCGTGCGCGACGAAACTCTTCGCGTAGCCGAAACTGAGCTTGCATATGAAACACATGAGGATAGGCTTGACGGGCACCGACGCGGCTGGAGGTGGTGGCGCAGCTGGGGGCGGCGGCGGTTGTTTGCTTCCCTCGGCGCTTCTGTAACTGATCACCCGATAGCTGTGCATCACAGGAAGATCGGGATTGTGCTGCTGCGCCGCCGTTGTACGTTGCTGTTGCTGTTGCTGCTGCTGCTGGTACGCCTGGTGCGCGTACAATCGCGACACGTAGTACGCGCTCGCGATCTGAGGAAACACCAGCGAGTGAGGAACCGAGACACCGCGCCCGTCTACAATGCAACCGTCCGGCAGCGAGTCGTCCTCGCTCAGCTCGCTCTCTCCCTCGATAATGTACGCCGATCCATCCGGATTGTAAACGATTTTTCCGTCGAACTTCTCCACATCGCCTCCCGTTGGACTTGGACTGGGGCTCGGGCCTTGTTGCTCTTGCTGTTGCTGTTGCTGGCCCTGCGACTGCATGGTCATGGTAGTGGTGGTGGTGGTTGTCGTGGTGTCGACGATCGGTGTAGGCGTCGGTATTGCATCGCGGGTGCAGGGTTCTGTGCCCGAGGGTGGACTGGCTGTCCGGGGGTGATGGGGCTGATGTAACGCAGCCCCCGCTGCCGGGGGGGACCCGCCCCCTCGACCCCCCTCCTCCTCCGGGCTCATCTCCTGCTTTTGCTGCGTGTACGTGGAATTTTGAAAGGGGCCGCCGTGTTGCTGCTGTCTCTGTTGCTGCTGCTGTTGCTGTTGTTGTTGCTGCTGCTGCTGCTGCTGCTGCTGTTGATGGGCGGCCACCAGCTGCTGGTAGAGCTGATGTTGCCCGATCGCGGTCGACGTGTGTTGCTGAAGATGCGAGGGAGGAATGTTGTGGTGCTGAAGGTGGTACTGGGGGGGATGAGGCTCACTGGAGGGCATCACCCCAAACGTGAGGCGGGCGCCAGCCTCACATCACCTACCGCGCCTGCGCCTACACTCTCTCGACTTCCTCTTCTTCTTCTTCTTCTCCGACCGTACGTCGCGCTCCCCACCCCCTTCGCTCGCTCTCTCTTCGTCCTAATCTCTTCTCCACCACTGGCAGTTACTTCTTTACTATCTACCCCGACGCAACCCCAGGTCGTACCTGCAACAGAAAGCAAGGGAAATTAATTAAATTATTATTCCAATTGATTTGTCGTTTCGTCGTTGTACGTTTTGAGAGTGTCTACGTGTTCCAGCGAGAACTGAAATTACGCCGCCAGGTGTGCCGGGTACGGGCACGAACGACCAGGGTGGCTGGCGAGTAGTCCAGCTCGCAGTCGAAACCGGGAATGATTTCGCGAAGGAACATCACGGAGATGGTTCTAGCCGTTTAATCCAGGCAAACAGAGAGGCGGCCTGGAGGACAGTGGAGAGATAGCGAAATACGTGGAAAACGTCGGCAAGCTGCGTGTACAGAGGATCAAGTCGGCGATTGCGGGCACACAAAGCGGAAGGAGACTCGAGCTACGGGCGACACAAGGCACCCTGTGTGTTCGGATTACCTGAACCCTCCTCTGGGTGGACCCAGCTGTATTTACAACCAAGCGTCCGTCAAGCTTATCTATCGATCGAGCATCGACGTTGTCTCTCTCTCTCTCTCTCTCTCTCTCTTTCTTTCATCCTCGTACTACACGCGCAAGACGTAGGGAATTGGTAACGGAAAAGAAATCGACTGCCGATCGTGAATGGCCGCTCTTGTGCGATTAAAAACGTTCCTTCTCCTAGCGCGTGTCCTAGATTCTCTCCCCTATTTCTAGCAATGAAGGGACAATCTATCCGCCACGGTAAACAAATGTGTATTCGTTCTCTACAAGGTTCTCTACTGTTCGAATCTCACCGTGAGATGCCTTGCCTTCGGAATCGGACATGGCCGTGCAACATTCCTCGAGGCAACGACGAGGCAACGCGTCTAATCATCCCAGTCCCAATTACGCCGGCTCGCGGTGATCGCGGTGGTTCAAAAGAGGCAGAGGCCTCGCGAGTATTCGCGGAATCTAACGGATCGAGGGGGAGAGGGGCGTACTGCGCGCAGCGCGGGGGTGTAGATCGTAGCGGATGGATTCTCTCGTGGAAACACAGCTACCCGAGTGGAATTCTTCTTCTTTTCCACTCTTGGCCAACCACCTTTCTCGTTCTCCTTTCTCGTTCCGTTCCGCAGACGCGCCGCTGGACATCGTGATACATAGACGCGATTACAGAGTACAGATCTCTCTCTTTCTCCGTTTTACGTTTCTTCGTGCTATCAGCGCGGTTATAATTCCGCGGCGCAAACTCCGTAATCCCAGTGACCACCACAGGCTAGGCACCAGTGTTCTAATGCGTGAGCCGCCGCGGCCGATCGTTCCCTCGGATTATCGTCGATCGATCGGCAAGGCAAATCGACGGTGGTCAGCGTAAACGTTCGTCCCAACGTTTTTCCATCGTGGCCGAAACGCCGCCAATTGCCAATGCCCTCCTCCGTCCCTTCTCCCCGTCGTGATCAATTATTCCGAATTGATGCTCAATTTACGTGCTCGCGCTGGAAAGTGATTCGAACCTACGCCGCGGGGTGTACGCTGCGTTCACGTTCGCGTTTCTGCGAAACATGACTTAATCTCGCTCTACCGTATCCATCTATCTATCTATTCGTCTCGTCTCGTTTGCCTTCCTCGTTTTGTCACTTAGGTAGACACGGGTCGACGGGTATTTTTTGGTTCGTTCCGTGTCTTTTTCTCTTCTTTTTTTTTTTTTTTT